TGTAGCTAATAAACATAGGTGGACTGAATTGGCATTGTCTCTTGGAGTTCCTTGGGCTAGGCCTGACAGTTTTACTTCTAAGAATCATATTCGAAATTTCGACCCTGAATCTAACTTTTGATATAAAATTCCAGTTTTTGCCAGGGGACTGATTATTTATTTATTTAAACAATTTCTAGATCCACCCATCCCATGAAGGTGGCTCTGGGCAGCATGCAGAGATTAAAAACAAAAACAAAAAAACCAATAACACAGCACATAAAATCAGTGTTCAGAAACTATGCTATAAGGCATGCCTGGTATTAAAAAAATCATTCCCCTTCAAACTACTAAGAAAAACCATCAGACAATAGAACTTGCATACACTCCTGGCCCAAATATCTGTGGGAACATCCAGGTCTTTAACACTTTGAGTAAGGCCAGCAGGGTTGGGGCCATCCAGATCTCCAGGGGGATGCTGTTCCACAGGGCAAGCACAGAGACAGAGAAGGTATGACTCCTTAGTCCCACAAGATGATACTGTCTAATAGACAGGACCTGGAGTGTGCCAACTGCTGGTTCTGGTGGGGTGCGCAGAAACGATTGAGACCAGCAGTCCCACCAGTAACCACGTAGGGCTTTACAGGTGATAACCAGCACTTTAAATTGCACCTAGAAGCTTCCTGGGGGCCAGTGTAGCATATCTGGACATGTCTGAATACTTAACATTTCAGTGGGCATATCTGAATGCTTACATTATAGTGACAAAGCTGAGAGTCATTGCCCAGATTTGAACACAGAAACTAAAATGTTCACTTTTTTTTCCATGTTTAACTTATTTGCTTACTATGTATGCAATTCCAGTAAAAAATTACTCTGAATCCAATAAGGCTTGTGCTCCTCAGTGTGCTACTAGGATTAAAATACAATTTAAATCTAAGTTGTTGAAACCAGCAATGGCACAGTAGTATAATCATAATCTGTCATCCAGCCATATTTGTGGTACAAAGAAAGCACCTGATACTCCTTCTTCAGGAGCAACTCAAATTTCACACATGCTCAAAGTCCATCCAGAAGAACCAGATCTTAATCACTTTTCAGATCCAAAGCAATGACGGGGTCTTCCTTGTCTCCACTGTTCTAAAGGAGGAGAGCTGCCACAGAGAAGGATTGCCCTCTGGGTCCCCGATGGCAATATATCCCAGGAGTTGGGACCACAGCAAGCCTTGCCTGCTGGATCTCACCAGAAGGACAGATTCCACACACAAATGTTTGAGAAAGATGTCAAACCATTAACTCAAGAGTGTCATGTTTCTGTAGCCTTACCTCAAGAAAGTAGGACTCATGAAAACTATATTGCAAAGATAATGCAGTGTTTAATATAAATTTATCATCACATATGAATGTAATCTGAGGTCTGTTCCTGTGTAGCACAACTGCTGCTGTGCTTATGATCGTACTTAGCTTTCCTTTGTTTTACAGACCCTGCAAAGGTTGTAAATGCAAGGATTGGTCATAAAGTTACTTTTTCATTACTGTTGTAACTGTGAACAGTTGCTAAATGAGGCAGTCACTAAACAAGGACTAGATGTACTGCCATCTGTAAACTTTGTTCCTTCATCCTGGTCTCTAGGGTATTTACAATTATTTTCAAGTCCATTAATCAACAGAGTAAAGTCATAGCAAAATAGGAAAATTCCATTCTCACAATTATTAAGAGAGAGGCTGAGGATTAAACCACCAGTGTCATGTGCAATAAAGCAGACTTCTTCAACAAATCAAAGAAAAACAACTTTTTTGTTTTGGATTATAACTCCCTTCACATTTGACCATTGTCTGTGCTGGTTGGGACTTATGGGAATTGTCATTTGAAATAGGGAAAGGGCTCCATATTGCCTGCCTGACAGCATAATTGAGAATTTTAGGACTTTGGTTTATAAGAAAAGATTCTTGCCGATAGTCTGTTATGGTATTCTTAGAAACCGCTGTTGTGAAAAATTGGGTGCTGGACTTAATCTCTGATCTGAGCAGCAGACCTTCTTATGTTCTTTAAAGAATTTCTGTACAAAAGCTTGAGTTGTGGAGTTTGGGTTAGATTGTAACTTAATTTAGGAACTAGGAACACTGAGTAATAAGCAGCTACATGGTTCTGATTTTTGGCATTCATGACCAGTGGCATTTTCTGAAGAACTGTTGTCATGATGATTCAGTTTATATCTGCTGCCAAAATCAGAGCTGTTCTTACCATTAGGTGGAGGAGAGCTGTCACTTGAGGCAGCAGCTGCTGTGAAACAGCTGGACCAAGGCTATTTCTTCTGGTGGATGACAGAGGTATCTATGTCACATACACATTTCTGGTCCTGTTAAACTAATCTGCTGCCTTAGGTGTTGTGGAGGACACTAGCCCACCTCCCAGAACAAAAGTAAGATTTATATGCCTGTCTAGCTGACTTCTGAATGAGGCCTGGGAAGAAGGGAGACATCACACTTTCACTTCAAGCCAAAAAAAAGTGGGGGGGGGGATGGACATGACCAACCAGGACCTTGAAAATATCAAAGTACTGCTAGAATCTATGTCTTGATAATCATCCTTATTCCTGGGAGACAGGTGTGTGTGTTCTCTGCCTGATAGTCACTAATCTTCTGCTATACCCTCTTGTCATACTTGATTTCCCAGAGCCTAGTTGGCCATTTGGACAAAATGACAGAAGATGTCCAGCAAGCAAAAAAAATGTTAATAGCTAAAGAAAAAACAACAGGTCATCTCATGGAGCAGCTGAACCGGTGAGGACACGAACCCATTACATTTAAAGCTATATTTAGGGGATGGGCCATAGCTCAGTGGCAGAGCATGTCTCGCACTCAGAGCTCAAGGTTCAAACCGTGGCATCTTCAAGTAATGCTTGAAGAAAACAACTTTGTCTAAAATCTTGGAGATTTATTACCAGTCCCTGCAGACACTACCAAGGGACAATAGATCAAAGGTGTGGCTCAGCATAAGGAACCATCTTATATTCCTAATCCTTTTGAGACATAAGAAGCAGGGAGCTCTCTCAGTGATCAAGTACTTCTCATTTTCATCTCACTTATATTTTAGAGAAGAAATTTAAAATCTCTGTTGATGATGTTTTATAAGGCTTTCTAGTGATGCATCTCATTTGCTTTAAATGGTAAGGCCACACACAAGTTCCAGTATAGAGAGCCTGAAACTGAGACACAATTTCCTTGGACAGTGGGTTGCTATCGGGGAAAAGAAAGCCATCCACAATGATGAATGTATATTAAATTAGATTATATGTCTTGGCATGTATACTATCGTGCTCAGAGATCACAGTAGGCAATCAGTAGTCTAAATCACTAGGATAGACTCCAAACCAAGGCTCGAACTGCTGTAGCAGCATTTCTTCTTGCTTCTAACTAGAGCAGGGAGCCTATGTAATCCATCAAATATTGTTGAACTACAGCTTCCGGTAGCTAGCCAGTATGTCTAATGAGAGATGCTGAGAGCTGCAACATTGGAAGATTCGTAGAGTTTCAAAGCACTTTTCTGGAAGGAACTCTGAAGCATTCCACACCTCTCATATTCATCGTAGACCCTGAGTTGTAGGAGCATTTCTTTTCCTGCTTAGGTGTCAGCAAGAAAAAAAACAGTTGCAACTTTCGCTGGAGAAAAACTGCCAGGAATCCGAGGAGAAGGAGAAGAAATTGAAAGAGGAGCTGTCGGAACAGGGGATGCTCATCAGCAATATGAAAAGAAAGCTTCTGGAATTACTGCAGTGAGTAAAGAGAGCCGAAGAGGAATAGATAATGGCTTTCTTTCATGTTGGTTTTAGCTTTGGAAACTCATACTTGTGGGAGAAAAAACATACTAAATAAGTTACAGGCCAGAAAAGCTCAGACGCTTTCCTTGGACACCTCCAGTGCATCCAAGGTAATCAAGGAAACTCTAAAAATAGGTAGTTCCTCTTTTAGAACTGGCTCCACAAAGGATGTCACAAGGAGGTCCCTCCAGCTTTTAGTCAGATAACTTAAAACAAGCTTCCACCAATTAAGGGGTGGGAGGATGGCACCAAGGGGCAGTTTTCTCCATTTGTCCCAGGGCTCAACCAAAAAAAAAAAAGTTAAACCTCTAGGTATGATCAGACACGTGAGCAGCTTTACTCTACTACTTGCATTAAGAAAACAATACACAGGCAATATTACACAGGTATAAGGAAAACTTAAATAATAATAAGCTATTGAGTTCAGTGGAATGACTCTCCCTGTGTCCTGAGAGGCTTGTTCAGAGACAGAGGTTTGTATACAATAGATTGAGTAAGATCTTAAAGATGCACCACATCTAAAAAAAACAGAACATATTGAGACAAACTAACTATATCCCCTCCCTAGTAAAAATGACCACACCAACATAGGCTGTCTGCCAAAGTCTCATATAACAGATTTCCTCCCTCTCTTCTTCAGGGCTCCTTAAGCTGTGTCTGCTGGATCTCATCCTCCCGTCTGGCTTATCTGAATCCATCCTATTTTTCCTGCTCTCTGCCCTTTCATCTCAGTTAAACCTGCCTTCTCACCTTGTAAGCTACAGGCAGTGGAATCCAGCTGGGCAAAGTGGTTTCTCTCTTTTACCTCTTACTCATAAGGAGTTGAGGTAAAAGAGAGAAGGGAGTTAAGGGAGTCTTTCTCTGTCCCTTAACTCAAAAGTGTTGTCTCATTAGGCTTCCTCCTGTTAGGCTAACCATTTCCTTTCCTTTTTCCTAGCCATGCTTCCAAGCTAAGTTTCTTCTGCTCTTTTCCTTTCTCCCCCATGCACATGTTATGCATGCATGTGTCCAAGTCTGTCTTTTGCTTCCACAGTTCCACAATTTTTACACCTTTCATGACTCATCAAAGTTTTGATTTCTTGCCCTTCTACTTCTTTGGGACAGAACCTTGCTTTCTAGAGGTCTCCAAGTCTGATTTCCTTACTTACTCTCCACTGTTCATTAAGCAGTATCTGATTTCTCGCCTAATTTCTCCCTCCATTTACTGTCATGTCTCTGTAGATCTTGTATCCTCATTTCTGTGCAGCCAGATCCTTAGCATCCAATTTAACTTACCTCCTTTTCCAGTCAACCTACCTGCCAGTTTGCCGCATATCTTAACTCCTTTACTTATTTCCCTACTCTGCTGCAACCAACAGTTGCAGATATTTGACAGAAATTACTGACAGATATTTTAAGATGGATATGGACAAATCTGATAGTAATGCAAGGGGTTTTCACTTAATGTTATATCTGACTTGAAGACCTGTTGTCTTCAACCTTTTCCTACTGCCTTATTCCCAAGTATGTCTTGAACCTTTATACCCTCAGTGTCAAATTTGAAACTTTTCCTGTACATCCTCTGTTGATGAGGCCAAACACTTCTACCATGAATTTACCCAAGAAATAGAGTAAGAAACCTGATGGAAACTAATGAAAATTGCAAATAGACCCCATTTAGATCTTGTGGTATGTTTTTCCACCATATGATATAGTACAAGACCATGGTCCACTACAGACCAGATGGCCTGCTTGTTTGTCTGTCAGGATATTTTCCACATCTGGACAGTGTAATTGTTTCCATTACAAATACCTACCATTGATTACAACTGATTATGTGCCTTCAAGTCAGCATTGACTCTTAGCAATCACACATATTTTTCTCCATGACAATCTGTCCCTAACCTGGTCCTTCAGGTCTTCCAACAGTGCCCCCATTGCCATTGCAACTGAGTCCATCCACCTTGCTCCTGGTCATCCTCTTTTCTCTGTCCTTCTGCCTTTCCCAGCATTAGAGTCTTCTCCACAGAGCTAAGCCTTCACAATACCTGGCATTGGTTTTACTAATAGTACTTCAGATCCTGATTAGATGATAATTAGCCAGTTCATCTTTGCTTCTACTGTATTCCTGAAGATGGGAAAAATGACAGTCAATTATTAGGAATCTGAGCTGATTCAATAAAGGTAAAAAGTGAAGCTAAAATTGGGACCCACTAAATAGAATTGTTTTTAATCAACTCTAGGGAATAGAATTGCCCCTTGGTGTCTTTCAGTCTTTAGCTGGTTAAATAACTAATGTATCTCTAAACCAGGGTAGGGGGAGATGGGGAGCTGATTAGCATCCAGTTAAAAACAGAAGAGGCAGAGAGATGTTCTCCTTTGGTAAAAGCTATGAAACTGTGACTCCCTGATGCCACTGAAATATGGCATTCAGTTTGAAAGAGTGCAGACTATGTTCTCATTGTAACTGCTCTCCAGAAGGTAGCAGAGTCATTTGATCTTGCAGTTGCTGTTAATTACTTCCAAGCAGTTTTTATGGTAATTTTCTTTTTGGTCTGCTAAGAGAGATCATATTGCCTTTTCTGTTACCTCTCTGAAATAGGAGGTACATGAGAATTCTCTTTTGAAGCTTGATATACAGCAATCAGTGTTTTCCTTGCACAGATACATTCATAGTCAAACCTGTGTTTTGACTTGTGAAGATCAAATTGATGTCATTTTGTACTGATGGGGGACAATATCCACTGACAGGTCTGTTGTATTGTATGAAGCCATTTTCATCCAGGTACTCTATAATAATGAGTGACCAGTTTTGCAAAACTGATTCAGATTTCAAGGTCCCAACTAGAGACACATTCACCATCCCTGAATATCTTATGCAACTTGATATATTGGTGATGAACAGCTAACAGAGGCAAAAATGAGATGTCCTTAGTTTGATTACTATGCAAACTTTCTAATTAGTCAGTGGGGAAAACTTAAATTAAAAACCTAGCAAATCCTGGATCAATTTGGCTAGATCCTCATTATTTAACCTAGACTGTTGAGAAAAAGTTTAAGGAGTTAGGTATGCTTAGTCTAAACTGGTTAAATGATGGTATGAAATATTTGAAGAGCTGTCACAATGATAATAGAGCAAAGTTTTTCTGTTGCTCCAGAAGGTAATAAGCAAACCAACAATTTCAGATTATAAGAAAAGAGATTTTGACTAAGTGTTAGAAAGAGGGGTTTTTTGACAGCACAAACTGCTGGCCAATAGAGCAGATTTCCTCAGAAGGTGGAAGATGATGGTTAAGAAAAAAGGAGCATGACGAATGCTCATGTGTTATAAATAGAACAGTTCCAAAACCCTTGGTCATATTGCTTGAAAGTCTTTTTCCTTGTCCTTTTCTCAGAAAAAAAGCTAATTCAAATGTTGACAGACAACACATTTCAAAATGCCATCACTGCAAATTAGGTGTAGATTCCTCCTTCTGGTGTTGTATGGTAGTTCTTTTAGCCAGCCCTCATATCCAAAAGATCTACAATTCTTAATAGATCCCATCTATTAGAGATATAGCCAAGAAGGACATAGTCATTTTAGCACACAATGCTTAATCCAAAATTATATTAATTATTTTGGAGTTGACCCAAAATGTGATGATAAAAGGACAAGACCAAACCATCTGAACTGCACCTCCAACAGGAAGATTACTGTAGCCAATCTTTGTTAAACATTCTCTGAGGCATTCAATATACACAAAGCAAACTTTTTCATGTAGTAAGCCATTTTAAGATTACAAGAAACAAATTTGATGCTGTATAAAATGACCTTCCTTTGGTTTGCCACGACAGGACATTCAAGTTTCTTATGCCAGAGTTCATGTAAATAAGAATCAATTTCATCAACTTCCTGCAAAAAGGAGGTTACAGTTAATTCCTCTAAAACCTCTAACCACTGTGGAACTTCAGAAGTAGCGATAGCATCTGGACTGAGTAAGCCAAATACAACTGCTTAAGTTGAGTAAACGGCCGAGAAGCATTTTGAGGTAAATAGCCTATTTGCTTTCTGCATTTTAGGGAGAAGGATGCCCTGTGGCAGAAGACGGAAGGTATCGCGTCCCCAGCCGTGAGCTCAGCCCCTCAGAACACAGGAGTGTGCTTTCGCTGCAAAAAAGAATTCAGGCTTATGTCACGCCGATATCAGTGCAGGTGATGCATTTAGTTACATCTGTCTCTAATTCAGATTTATAAGACTGCCCAGCTCAATTCTGGCGTTACCCAGACACAATACCTAAAAATGAAAAAAAAAGTAAATATAACGGGAGGAACGAGCATACTGTAAGCAAAACAGATACTGTGCTCTAAGTGGGCACACCACAATCTATGCCAGAGCTTGGGGGGAAAAAACCCACAGGTTTTCAGAGGGTGGTTCCTTCTCCACTGGACTGGCAGACAGCAATAAATGTGGCCTGGCTGTTGCAGCCGATCAGTGCTTGGGAAGTCTGTCCTGAAGCTGCCAAGCCTTAGTTGGGAGTTGACCTTTTTTCCTTGGCAGGACTGGATGGATGGGGCTTGGATTTTGTCCTGTGGTCTACTTGGTTTTCAGGTTTGCACAATACAGTCGGCCAGGCGGAAGTAGCTTGCCTCAGAATTGCCCGGTATATTTTTGGGTTAAAACTGCCCCTCACCTGCTTCAGGACTACTGGGTTTGCAGCAACACATTTCAAGGGCATCAGTTTAGGAAAGGCTCTTTCCCCTAACGAGGGATGCAGCATTTGGAAGTGGAGGAAGGGATAGACAAGAGGAAAGCGCACTTTGGAGAATGTTAGCGCACCCATCTCTGGTGCTGTGCTCTTGATCCAGTGTGTGTGTGTGTGTGTGTGTGTGTGCGCGCACTTGTCTGAATTGACCTGGCAAAAGAGAGGGAAACTCCAGTCAGGGGTCTCTGGCTACTTTGGCTCAGCTGCCACTACATTAGGTACCTTCTACAGCCCAGGAGGTTGGCCATTCTTTTCTAGTAAACAGCTGCAGAAAAGGGAACTCTAAACTCCAGATATGATGTTGCCATTTTCAGAAGCAGTGAAAACAAGAAATATCTCACGAGATAAAAACAGAGTACCTTAACCTTTACACAGCTGTATCATACCACAATATTATTTGCATACCACACCAATTGCAGAGGCGTGTAGAGATTGGGGCAGATGTGATGCCATCATACTTGTTTAGCATGGGCTCATTGACTTTTCCATTTGTGTTGTGCTTTTACAATACACTTACTGTTCCTTTGCCCAAGTCCATATGTGCTAATGGCTCTCTGATGGTTGCCCTGTGGTTGGGTAGCTAAAGAAAACATTTGCTTAGTGTGAAAATTGCTACTGTGAAAATGCAAATTCTGTGTTGAGGATCACCGGGAAAGAGATAAAAAAGGAAAGTGCTGATACTGTATAGCTTCTGCACAAATTTGTGGTGCATCCATGCTTGCAATATGGTGTCTAGTTCTGTTCTCTGCACCCCAAAAAGTTATTGTAGCCTTGGAGAAGATGCAGCTAAGAGTCAACTAAAAATAAGGTACTAGAGTTACTCACCTGTGAAGGAAGGTTACAAGATGTAGAGATGTGAAGTGGCATAAAACTAAGTAGACATTCTTCCCCTATCATAATATGATTACCCAATAATGATGAATGAGACAAGATTTAGGACAAGGAAAAGGAACAGGGTTTTTTCACACAGCTGTTAAACTGTGGACTTAGTTATCAATAGTTGTGAGGTGCATGGGATAGAACAGTTTTATAAGCGGATTAGATGGACTAGTAAGGTAAGTTTCTCAGTAGCTAGTGGCTGTACCTTATACCTTGATTGTTGGTGGCAGGACGTCAGTTACAGGGAACACAAATGGGAAGATGTCATGCCTGGCCTGTGGGCCTCAACTAGCATCTGGAATACTAGACTGGATAATCCTTTGGTGTGATTTAGCGGGACTCTTCTAGTGTTCATATATTAGATGTTTACAGAGGCCCCTGCCTTTTGAGGTAAGGAGAGGCAATCAGCTGCATTAAGCTTTTCTTGGTTATGGCCCCCTTCCCAGGGAGATATGGATGGCTTCTGCATTGGTATATAAACCTCACTGGGCATAATGTAATCCAAGAAAAAAGATTAGGTCGTGCTTCTCTTCTCATTGCTATCAATGATTAGGCAGTACTGCTGATGAAGCTGAATGTTCAGTCATGAATGTGTAACTCCCTTGAGATCAGGCAGAGATGGACTGGGAATCAGGTCACCACATCAGTCATCAGTAAACGTGATCTCATGTTCTCTTTCTTTCTCATTCCCACAGGTGGTGCCAGAGCACTGTGTGTCATGCTTGTTCAGTGAGCAGTGGGCACAAGGAGCGCTACTGCATAGCGTGCTACCAGAAGAGAAATGGTCAGAGCACATGACCCTTGGTCTCATCAAGTCATCCCATACTACTCAGCCACATTGCAAGTTCAGTTACCTGCCTGGCTGCTATCTATAAGTGGATTTGAGATATCAGATCCAGATCCAGAAGAATAAAAGCAAAGGGACTCTTGCAGTGATAAAAGAGAACTGCCTATGGAGTCCTTGGGGTTCTCTGAGCTTGGTTGTTTTCTTGCAAACGTTTCGTTACCCAGCTAGGTAACATCTTCAGTGCTAGAATGGGATGCAGAAACAAAGACCAAACCCCACTCCATTCTAGCACTGAAGATGTTACCTAGCCAGGTAACAAAACGTTTGCAAGAAAGCAACCAAGCTCAGAGAACCCCAAGGACTCCACAGTGCAGCCTGGAGCTACACATATTCTCTTCAGTTAGAACTGCCTATCCCTGTTCAGACTGAGACTGACCCTGAACAAAGGACACTGGAGTGGTATGGAGCATCCCTTATTTTATTTTTTTTAAGATGCAACACTAACACTATTAGTTGTTTGCTTTAATTGGTGTTACAATGAGATATGATGCCAACCTTCTAGATCCAGCCAAGCTTCTCCATATGCCTTTAGCCCTTGCAGCAGTATATTCTCCCAATATACTCCCTGCCCATAAGCAATAAAATATAAAACCATTTGGATGAGGAGACCACAAGGTGTTCCATCCAGACTAAGTTATGGAGAGAGTTGTTGGCCAGGCATAAACACTGTACTTTGATTCAGTTGCTTGGGGAGATAAAGGCATGGAGGAGACTGAATTAATTTCTTCCAGTATGGAATCAGCACTCTGCATATATAGAAAGAAAAAAGAGGAATGTGGAAGGAAATGACTTCATGGTAAACACTCTGTCCTCACTTCACAACAGCAGCACTAAGATGAAAAGACAGATGAAGGAATACACATGAATGTTTTGGCCACTGCAACGTTTCTTTCAGTCACCACTTTTTGCTCTGCCTCACTCATGGACAGCTCAGATGATGCTGACGTATACTTCCAACCTTCCCATGTTGTTCTCTGTCATCTATCATTCCAGAACAAATCTATTTAGGAGAAAGTACTCAGGTTCTCAAACAGCACATGAAAGGGTTTTGCTTCATACTAAAATTCAGTCTCCAATACTTGGTGCTATTAAGATTAACTGAGTTACAAGTCCCATGGTTCTCAGTCAGCAAGGACCATGTTGGCTTAGTGTTGTGAAAGGTATAGTCCAATGCATGATCTGGAAGACATCATCTTATGGGAAGCTGATGTAAATTTAGCAGATATTTACATTATTAGTACAAAATAAAAACACTTGCATAGTTGGGAAAACGCACTGGGGAAATTATGGCTAGGGAAGAGTCCCACCCTATGAATGATTATTGTGCTACCAATTGGTATATAATATATTTATTCTGATAGAGGGGACATATTACAGTTGGAGCTGGGAATCATAATTTGGCTGCAATCCTATGCACATCAGACTGGAATTCAGATGTATTTAATTGAATGAATCTTGCTTCAAAATAAACTTGTGTAGAATTGTATCACTAATTATGTTTTTGCAATGAAATAGGCTATGTATTTAAGAAATTAAATTTAATGAAATTTGGCTGGTTTGTTGTCTACTCAGGAAGCACCCTTATTTTAGGCTGTTTCAGAAGAGCCGTGATACATGGATGATTGCACACTATTTTAGAAATAGTGAGAAAGTTATTTAAACAGCACTGAAAAAGATTAAAGTTAATCTTGCTCTACATGTGCTCATAAATTGGCCCATTACTCATGCATTACTTTCTACTGGATAAAAATGACTTTGTAAGCCCTAGAACTTTATTTACAAGCCCGTCACCCTTCTATGACAAGCAGTACAGCAATCTGGGACTTCAGGCACAGCTGGTTGAGTAATTTGGAACTGAGAAGGAAGGAAGAGGGAAATTAAACATGATTTGCCTATAGCTTCCGTTTTCTGGCCTGGGATTAATGACCTGGGAAAACACACAGTTAAAAAAATTCTAGTTTTTCCCATGGAGAGCACAGCAAATGAAGTTCAACAATCTAGAGCATGTTGTTTTCATCTTCATATAAATGCCATATCCATGCAATGATTAAAAATCAGCCAGTAACAAACAGCAACAACCCAGATTGCAATCAGTGAGCCCCCACATAAAGCTGCACTAAAGAACATGAACATATAACTGGATATTAATCCACTGGCAAAAAAAAAAAGGCCAAGAAACAAAACTCCACTTTGGATTCAAAAGATTTTTATGCAGAATCTATCCCAAAATCTAAAATATCAATAGAAGCCCAGTTAAGATACTGTTTAGGCTGACTGGACACAACTGAATTCTTTTTTTTACAATGCCCTGAAGTTAAAACCCAAGCTCTTTGACCTTTTGAGCCAGCAGTAAATTCTTATTTAACAGTATTTATGAATACTGTAGCAAAATTATACAGCCAACACTATACTTTGAAGTAGACAAAGGGAAGCCTTATTTTCATCCATAAAAAGTACAAGAAATGCATCTTAATGCCTTCCATAGATGGAGCCTTCATGCTGATTGTATTCTTACATGATATGTGGTTATTCAATATTATACTGGACAGGACAGAAGGGAAAGGGAAATTTCTTGCATTTATGGTGGTCTGGTAATATATTGCAGAAATTTGACCAGATTATTCTTGGTTGCACAGTCAGTTGTTGAAACTGGATTTGGCATTTTTATCCACCTATCGAGTCCCTCCCAAGGGCCTGGGATATTATTATTTTTATTTTTATTACTGTTATTCAAATACTGCAACTGGAACTCCTTAGCACAGAGAATAGTGTAGAGAATAAACCTTTAAGAAGCAAAATATAAATTATTTTTATTAATAACAGCAAGACAAATTATAACCCAATGTTGGAAGTATATTAAAAGGGATTTTATTAAAGCTCTGGTTTTATAGAGTTTGGTCCTTGGCTTTTATGGAAAAGTTAACATAAATTAAAATGAAGATTATTAGAGAAACATAGTGGTTTATTTTATGCTGATTAATATTCATTTATTTTACTTGCTTATTAGAGCTTATATGCCACTCATGTCCCAAGAAAATTCTAGCAACTTACAGTAAGGCTAAAAACAATTTTAAAAAGTGATGACTAAATTGCAATTACAATAATCCCTATGATGCTCAAGGAATGTCCAAAATATCATACAAAAATCACCCATAACAAGAGTAACTCACTATGCCTAATCATTCCATACCCAAGGCTGCCTGGAAAAGCCAGATTTCAATGGCCTTCCTAAAAACCACCTTGGGTAGGATCTAATTTTAAACAGTGTGCTGTTCAAAAAAAGGGGGGGATATATCTTTCTTGAAGAGTCCACACATTTAAAGAATTTCAGAAATATTGAGAAAAAAAGAGGTAACAAAAAATGGTACACTTTCCTAATTGCATAGTGTGTTGTATTTAGGCATACATATCTAAGGGTTTGAAAAAATTAAACAGCCATTCTGTTGCCAAAGGGCAAAAGACGTCTTCTTGCTGAGAAATAGATCAGAACAAAGAAAGGAGAACTTGTTGCTGGGGATGACAGCAAATCTGTCTTTTGGTGTCAGGAGTCAGGCTTCCCTCATTCATTTTTCATACCATAATTCCCACCTGCCAGAAGCAAAATGGTCATTAATGGCATTTTAAATAGCATTGTCTGTTTAGGCAGCCATCTGAAAGGGCCAAGAACACAACCCCATATCCCCTAGATGTAAGTTCAGTTGAAAAAGGTCTATTGGTTGTGAGTAGATGTGCTTGGTAGATAGGGGTACATGAGGCATCTTGTTTGGCAAACATTAAGCTATTTCAGACCACATTTTTTAACCTTGTTGCTTACTTGCTTCCTGTTAAAACCAGTGAGATGTTAACATGCTTCACTTCTTTGTATCAGATTTGGATAGATACAGATAGTCAGCTTATAGATATTTCTCTGACTTTTTAATGAAAAGAAGTTAAAAGGCATCAACTTCCGTTCCCTGTTGAAAAATGGTCCAAGTCTACATTGCTCTCCTTCTCCTTCTCCTTCTCCTTCTCCTCCTCCTCCTCCTAAAAAACCCTCATACACCCCTATCAGACCAGCTTGTGTTCCTTTAAAAAACAGTCCATCCCTGTCTCTAGATTTAGAGTAAAAAAGAATGATGCAAAAGGAAGGTTGTGAAGAGGAAGAAGGCAAAAAAGCAAATCCCTTATTCCTCCAACGTATAGCTCTTATAGTGATCACCTGAGATCAAAATACTTCAGGAAGCCTGATGGAAGTTATCACTGCCATGTGACAAATGAGAGAAAAAGGGAGTCCAAGACACCAGATTGCTTACATAGCAAAAACCAATGTTTGTGCTCCTTTTGTCACACCTTGCTGGAATAGCTGCCCTAGAGCTGACCCCCTCTGCCCTCTTGCTGGAATGTGTCATGCTACCCTGGTTTATTGTTTACTATTTAAATTATGAATTTTCCACTTTACCCAACTGAAAGTACTAGAAGAGAAATGACAGCCTTCTATCCTGGCCTTTTAACAGTGGCTGGATTTGCAGAAATCATCAGCTGAAGATTTCCATCAGTGAAGATCCAGCTGCCTTAAGGACGGCAATGGGGAATCTAAGACTTTAGAGTAGTGTTTCTCAACCTTGGCAATTTTAAGATGTGTGCTGGCTGAGGAATTCTGAGAGTTGAAGTCCAGGCATCTTCAAGTTGCCAAGGTTGAGAAACATTGCTCTAGATGTTGCTGGCGTCTGATTCCAACACCTGTAAGTCCCAAATTACCTGGCTAATGATTAGGGCTGATGGGGGTTAGAATCCAACAGTACCTAAAAGCCCACAGCTTCTATAATCTCCCATTGAAAGGCACCCAAGGAAGAAACGGAGCTGTACAAAGCAGGGCAGGAAGCAATCCTCAAACAGATTGCAAATGGCACTCATCAGTCCGTGCAGGAAAGAGAAGTATGCCTCCATCATATCCTTTATCTAGCTTTTTCTTGTCTGTCTGGGCAATTAAGCAACTGAGTGCAATAGTGCAAGTTCTTAGCCAACTGTTTGTTCCCTCTACAGGTTTCCTGGTGCCATTGCAGAAGTTTCTTAGTCTCTTAAGTAAGAGGCTGCCAGCAGCTACTGGAGGGGAAGCACGATGTCTGGACCCAAGAAGGGGGCATGTGTGTAAACTTACCAAGGAGGTCACTGAACAAATA